CTATCTATCTATCTATCTATCTATCTATCTATCTATCTATCTATCTATCTATCTATCTATCATTTCTAACTTAATGAAGCAGCACTGCAGAACCAAAAACAGGTGTGGAGCAGAACTCAGCTGAGTTAACATGGAGCAAAATGCATAAAATGTGTGACAAACGTGTCCGTTGTATATTTTTCAAAACATGATAAATTAACTCAGTTTAGCAGTTTGTGGTTAACTAGGTTTTTAACGCTAAATAAAAAGTTGCTGTGTCGTCAATTTTCTAATGTGTTTATTGTTGTGTGCTGGTCAAACAAAGCAAATGTCTTCTCTTCAAACAGCGACTCACCGAGACAGCTACAGTAAAACAAGATGTATGCGCTGCAGCTGTGAATAACTTTAACAGAACAAAGGTGCATCAGGGGTGGGCTGGCTTCCACCCCATCACTGCCTCGATTCACTCAGTCTAATCTTAAAGTTGTTTTTTTTTTGGCTTTTTTTCTACACTGAAACATCCTTCAGGCTGCAGCCCCTTTAACTGGAAAGTGCATTTAACACCTTGTCTCTGCTCCAGATGTTTTTGTTTATTCTTTTAATGCATAATCCCCGACAATTCTGCACAAACAGGCCAGAAGCAATTACTAAAATATTTCTAAAAAATAATCCACAGCTGAAATTCTGATGAACACGACCAACTGAGCAATTTCTGAAGTTGCTTATTTTATCTTAGTTTTCTTGAAACCTACTGACAAACATTTCTTGCCGCTGAGATTTAAAGTTGATGTTTTTGAAACCCATTTGAGGCCTTCCATTTTGCTAAATCCTTTTAGTGTTTTTAACACCCTGTAGAAACCCTGAGTTAATGTTAAATCTGATTCTTCTTTTCAACAAACCTTAAAACTGATATTTTTCTGCTGAGCTACTAGGGTGACTTTTTCAAGCAGGTCCTGGAGTCGCTGCTGAGCAGCATGGGACACATAGTTCACCACCTCCGCACCCAGCTCCGTTACTCCGTGCTTCCTACCTGGAGGAGGAATAAAAACAGATTATTGCAGCAAGAGAYTGATGAATGATTACAAGCTGGTGAGTAAAGATGATATTGTTTTACCGATCTCCAGCATTCTCCTCTGCAGCACGGCACAGGAGATGAAAGCCTCGTCCTTACAGGAATGTGTCACCGAGCCAACAAATCCAGAGTTGGTAGCGAGGATATTAGCACTTTCCTCTGACAGGTTTACTCCGGCCATGGAGGCCACATCGTTGATGTCGTCATCGTCTCTGTTAATGTCGACGCCGAAAACACAAACGCTTTGGTCTGAAGTGTGTTTGTGGCATAAAGGACTAAAACCTGGTGGCTGTTTATGTTTCAAATAATTCTGTGAGTAATTACAGACAAACTGTTGTAGAGTAATAACACCAAAATCTTTATGATTAACAGCCATCATTAGCAGCGCAGGTGACTGGTTGAGCTTACTTGAAAGTGCCGCCCGCCTCTTTCAGCTTGTTCCTCTGAGCCTGGGTCAAAGCTACAGCAGAGACTGGTTTGGAAACAAGTGGCGTCTCCGGCCTCAAGGGAACTGACAAGAGGACAAAATGTTATTTATCTACCTCGATCCAGAAAAAAAAAAAAAACAGGACATTCCCACGCACAGACAGAGGACATGGTGGACTGATGTCTCACCTGGCTGCAGCTCTTTCAGATGCACCTGTTGTTGTCCCACCATGATGCGACCTGGAGCCTGATTTCTCAGAGGCTTCATGGGGGTTGTGGGTAAGGTTACCTGAGGTCTCAAAACTGCTCTTTGCTGCTGAGGCTGGAGAACCTGAGAGGAAAAGTTTAACATATTATCATTCTAACAAGGGCTGCATGATATTAGAACAATGTGATATCGTTTCTCCTCTGTCATCACTCTCAGGTGTGGGCATCAAGGCCAGTGAGGGTCAGTTAGATTGACCAAATGTATTATTAGCAGCAGAACATAAATGTTTGGTACTTAAATACGTACAGTATAGTAGTTTATGATTTATTGCAGTGCTTAGCAATAATTTTATCACACAGTGATATTGTGATAACTGGAAATTTTCTAAATGCTGTGCAGCCCTACAAACAGTATCTTTGAGCGGCAAAACTGATGGTAAAGATAAAGCAAAATGATAGCTACAGTTAGTTAAAAGCTAAACCCGGCAGAGCATAGTCTAAAAGAAGCATAAGAAGATAAAAATAGAGCAAGTAGGATAAACCAGGTATCAAAGAAAATTACTGTATGTTTTAAAGAGCTGAAGACATTTTTAGAAGCAGAAAAACTACAGCACCCAATTCCTAATTGAGGTCAATGTTTTAAAGGACGGGTGTTGTGTAAAAGCTTTATATCATGTTATAATGTCATTCCCTCGTCAAAAACATTACCCAGAGTGCTGCTTTGGCTCATTCATGTACAGTATGTTTGAGAAATCCTTGAATCTCCTGTAGTAGCCATGTGGAGCTGCCTGGTACAAAGCCCCACCTATTTACACAAAGCTCCTCCCTGGAGCTCAAGTCCCCAGCCAAGCTCCTCCCCCACAAAATATAGCTTCATAATGATTTATATTTATAGTTTTTTTGCAAAAAGTAACTTAACATTGACATTGACATGTGTGAGAGGATGACTGATGGATACTGTACTGTATATTACCAAGCTGAAACGACCTGTAAAGAGCCTCTGTACTCGCTTTGGTTCTTCATCATTTGAGTAATATTCATCTGTATCCTGAGCTRTCATTTTAGAAAACTGATATATACTGATACTGATAATACTGTGTTTTTTTACAACAGAATACAATGCTCCTATGAAAGGTTGTAATGCATTGTTGTGAAGACATGCTGAAGTGGGCGTTTCAGAAATGGTAGGAGGTTCTTAAAGAGACAGGCCAATTTAAAGGCATCTAGATACGGCTAGGATATAAAGTCAAATTTATTTTTGAAATAAACAGCATTTTCATAACAATTGAAAGTAAAATAAATAGTGGATTGTGGTATAGAATCGAATGAGGTGGCTGGAAAATACATAATACCAATTATGTCAATGAAGTCAAAAATTCAAACATTACTACAAAGCTCACATTGCTAATATACACAGTATATATAT